CAAGACTAAAAGTCCAAAAATTTAATAAACAAAATAAACGTTTTTTATTTTAAAATTAAACGCCGTGCTAGCGGTGCTCCTACGGCGGTCTACGCGCGACTGTTGTGTGTTGTCCGCGGTCGTTACAGCTAGTACTTTACTCAACTTTGGATTGTCGGGAGTTGGAGTATAGTAGTGGTACCTTTACTTGCGGTTTATAATGTACGTATTTTTTATACAGTACCGCTAGCTGGTGGATTACATATAATACGAGTATGATAGAGCTTACGTTATATGTGTCGATGACGTAAATTTAAACAGAGTAGTAGGTACTGTTGGGGGTGGAGAGCTATTCAAGCGTAGGTGGTTATAATAAGTCTATTGAATTAATACACTTATTATCAGACCCTTAAATTTTATATAGGTAAATGACCTATCTCCGCTTCTGACCTTTCGAATTGCGGAATATTAATTTTTTTTTACTTATTCAAAAAATCCGGAGGATTTTTGCGTGGGAGGCAGTAGGTAGCAGACCTTTACTTAAAGATTAATTTTTTAAAAAGGACACCGTGAACTTTAACGTGTGTAATTATTCTTTTATTAATTATGCTTGTCATAAAAAAAAATTAAAATTATTTTTTTTTTAATTTTAATGAATTAAAAAAATTTATTTTAAAAAATGAGAAATTTTTTTAATAAGAAAATTTATTAAAATTTTTAAACAATTTATTTTTTTAGGAGGGAGAATATTAATTTTTATTTTAGTAATTTTTGTTGCGAAAAAATTAAATAGTTATAAAATTTGAACCTGACTTAAATAAAAATTTATTACAATAAGTATTTAGGCTGCATTCAAAAATTCTATCTCTAATAAGTACATAATTAAAAAATGACCTTGTATCTTGTGAACAATTGACATTTTAAAAGATATAAGCTCATCCTGGTGTTACACTCATCGAAATCTTTCATTTGAGTACCCACATCAATTTTTCATATATTTTATATATATTTTATATATGAAAAATATACCAAAAATACATGTGGGTACTCAAATTAAAGCTCTTGACGAGTGTAACATCGGGATGAGCTTATATCTTTAAAATATATATTATATATATGTATATATGAAAAATATATGAAAATGCATGATATAAGCTCATCCTGGTGTTACACTCATCGAGACCTTTCATTTGAGTACCCATATCAATTTTTCATATATTTTATATATTTATATATATTATATATATGTATATATGAAAAATATACCAAAAATACATGTGGGTACTCAAGTGAAAGCTCTTGACGAGTGTAACATCGGGATGAGCTTATATCTTTAAAATATATATTATATATATATGTATATATGAAAAATATATGAAAATGCATGTGGGTACTCAAGTGAAAGCTCTTGATGAGTGTATCATCAGAATGAGCTTATATCTTAGAAAACGTCAATATTTAAGAAAGTACAGTGCAATTTAACAACAGGCATTATTTAATAAAACAAAATTTAAATTTTTTCAGTGGACAAGTTGCAAGGTTGCTAATTTTTATTACTAATATGATATAATAATTTTTACTATTTAATAAAAACTCCTCTCTCGTTATTTAGTCCGTTTGAATGAAAAAATATTTTTCTTTGAATTAGAATATTATCAATTATTAAATGTTTGTTTTGATTGTAATGTTATGAAATTTATAAATATTGGAATTGATTTTTTAGGTCAATAATTGGCTATTGTGTAACCAATTGTCATTTGCTTGAAATTATAAAAAAATTTTTCAATATTGAAACGTATAAATTAAATTTTTAATTAATTTAAAGTGACTTTGTTTTATCAAAAAGATTTTTAATAATCTAAAAATTAAAATTATTATTTTTTTAATAGTATATTTTTACTGGCGAAATTTTTTTTTGGAAAAATTTATTTTGAAAAAACTGATAAATTGGATATTAACCAAATTTGTAAGTGAAATAAATTCCTTAGTAAAAATCAAATGTAAAATCTAACGAAAGTACGAACAATTGCGCGAATAGATAAAATAAAAAGAAAAAACCAACTCATAAATCTAAAATCGCATTTGAGTTGTCGTTTAGCTTAATGCACGGCAATAAACTGGTAACCCGCAGTTAAATTGCCGATGATTCAACGACTGAAGATCAATGACCGGTCCGCTAACTTATATAGCGATGCACTGATGATTAACTTGCATCTAAAGAGTACTTTTCAACCCACCTCTTTTTTATTCGTCATATTTTAATTTCTCTGTTATTCCAAATGAAACTGAGGTCATCTTAAAACTTTAAGATTAACAAATTAAAATGTTTTATTTACACAAAATAATTTATTTCATCATTTTTGCGTCTGATATGTCAATTAGCATTTATTTTTTTATATATTATTAATTATCCACTTAGTTAGATTAATTTAATTTAAATGAGGTGAAAAACAATTATCGTAAAATTTTTAAAAATAATTATTAATGATAGGAATATTAAAAAGTAATTTATTAATCACTTAATTATCAATTTATGAGTAAAAAAATTTAATTTAAATTATTAAAAAAAAATTTTAATTTTTTTTTTTTAATTAAATTTCAATTTTTTTGCTATTATAAAATCTAGCCAAATTTTAGGTGTCAAAAATTAATCAGAATAATTTTCTTAATTAAAACAATTATTTTTCTTTATTGTTAGAATTTTTAATAAAAAATCCAAATTATTTTTTTTAAGTACAATTATTAATTATTAACTGCTTAAAAAATTCAAAAGTTCATAAATAAATTAAAAAAATAATTAAATTTTTAGAATAAAAACAATCTAGACAAATAAGCAAGTAAAAAAATTTTACAATAATAACAACTAGTTTTTACAGAAAAGAATTAATTTAAATGAATTAAATCTAATCAGTGGGAGTGTATCATACATAATAATTATTTATTTAAAACTAAGTATTAATTGTCAATCCGTCAATAGGAATCACCGTCGCTATTTCCTTGTAATCAAAAACTCGATAGCCTTCGGCTTGATTCTAATAGAAGAGAAAGGAACAACTAAAGTTATCTTTATCCCTCTTATATATATATATAAATACAATTTATAATTTAATAACAGTAAAAATTTATTTATCCAAAGCTGTAAAAAATTAAGAATAATTTTAGTAATAAAGAAATTATTTTTGGTACCGGTGTGATAAAAGATAAGGAATTATTTCGTCAGTTATTTTTACCGTGAATCATTGTGCTGACGTATGTAGTATATATATATACCTATTATTGTTAATTTTTATCTATTAGAATTCTTAGAGAGAATAAGCACTCGTGGAAATTGTTATTCATTTCTTATAAAAATAGTAATGCGATGTTATTTAATCTTGCGCTGGAAAGTATAAAAGTTTTAAGTAAATAATTAATAAAATCTCGGAAGTTGTATTGGATTTTTTTAATATACTTTTTATTAATAATAAATATAAAATACTTACTAAGTACATTTGATGATAAACATGCAAGTGGCAAGTGGCTCGTTCATTAGCTTCTTGTAGCAAAACAATCGGGATTAAGTACTTCAGAGTACTTATACAGTATCTAGTGCGTACGCAGTTGATTAAATAACTTATTATTGTATTAAAAAAATTTTTTTATATGACTAGACAATTTTTTTTATTAAAATAAAATTAGTTACTTGTTACGGATAATTTTTTATTAGTAACCTTAAAGTCACTATGTGATTGCCGTGACTTGTGAAATATAAATAAATAAAATTTTGCTTTATTAAATAATTACTTTTGTTAAATTGCACTGTACTTTTTTAAATATTGGCATTTTTAAAAATATAAGCTCATCCCGATGTTACACTCATCAAGAGCTTTCATTTGAGTACCCACATGCACTTTTGATATATTTTTCATATATACATATATATAATATATATAAATATATAAAGTATATGAAAAATTGATGTGGGTACTCAAATGAAAGGTCTTGATGAGTGTAACATCGGGATGAGCTTAGATCTTTAAAAATGTCAATAGTTCACGAGATACAAGGTCATTTCTTAATTCTGTATCTGGAGACTTAATACTCTGATTTTGTTAAGCTTATATAAATAAAAAATTTTGTATAAAAACATTTCATAATTTAGACAAATGATATTTTTTTATTTTAAAACTTATATTCTCCAATTAAACTCTCTTGTAGTGAGAGAATTTAGCGGTCATGCGCCACCTGTCGGAATTTTTTAGAACTATTTTTAGTAAAAAAATTACACATGGATAAATATACCTATTAGAGGTCATTAAAAAAATGTTTACTGGTTATTAATTTTAGTTTTTTATAAATAAAGAAAGTTCTTCTTTTATTTAGAATTAATTAAAAAATTTGTTCAATGATTCTTCTACTTCTAATAATTATTATCAGTCAAGAATAAATTGATGAGAAATTTATTTTTAATTTCGATAACCTTGAATTGACGTCATGGATCTATAGTTATGACGCATTTACCGGGATCTAGTACGCAGGTTTTAAACGTACTCGATGATGTAATAATAAAGATCCAAGATCCTATAGCGCGTCATAATTATAATAATTAAAATAATAATTTTTTAAATAAAATTTTCATTCATTAAATTATAAAAATTCAATTTTTTTCTAATGATTATTATATACCAATTATATTACGGTTGAACAATGAATGAATTTAAAAGAGTAAAAATCAATGCAAGCATTATTAAAAATAAAATATATATTCCAACAGGTGTAATAAAAATAAAATCACGGCGCCGTCTGAGATTAAATAAATATTATAAGCGATGTATATATAAACTTTTTATTTAATAACTCGTAGAGAATTAAAAAGACAAATTAAACGTTAATTTTAAATATTTTTTATGCATTAACCGATTATTTAGATAAACATCGGGGTATCATTGTTTAAATACTGAGTAAGGCCATTTTAATTTGGATAATATTAAATTTATAAAACAAACGATTCTGAGAAAAAATTATTTTTTTTTCTAAGAAATTTAGATAAACAGTAATGTAAATTTGTACGACTGGATAAAAATAAAAAATATTTATTTATTTATTTATTATAATTATATTTTATTAAAATAATTAGTGAAAATTTCAACAAAAAGTATATTTAAATTCTTTGGGTCATTTAGGTAAATAAAATATATTTTTGTCCAGTATAAATCGTGGGTTTATATATGTCATTTTATAGTAAGACTTTAATGCCCGAGGTTACGTCAACGCGTGGGTAATTTTATCAACTTCCCATGCCATTGTCTTCAATGTTGGGTGAATAATAAATCATGTTTTTTACCCGGGAAATTGTAAGTTTTTTTTTATCGGCAAATTGTTAATTTATTCTTTTTAAGCTCACCCGCCTCTGCTCGCTTCTATGTTAATTAATTTAAATACTATCAATGATACTTGCAAAAAATGAATTATATAGAGAAAAATTACTATTGTAAAAAAAGAACACTCTTGTTACAATAATTTAAATTGTGGGAAATTTTAAATATTTTTTTTCAGCTAAAAAGGTTTTTTTTTTAATTAAGTAGTAATACCTAAAAAAAAAAACAAATTCCTTAAAAAAATAAAATAAATATTTATCAGTCATTTAAAAAACTAATTATCAAAAGTAACTTGATATATATTTAAGTTAAAAAAAAAAATAAATAGAAATTGTTAATTCTTTGGTTATAAAATGAAATTTTATTCATTAAGTCCATAAAGATTTATCAATTATAATTACGTATATAATTATATATATATATAACTGTACATTATTTACACTTCGTTGCAAAAAATTATCAGTTGTCAATTTTAGATAGTAAATAAATATTTTAATTTACGCTTCCAAAGCCACTGGCTCGCGATCCTTGCGTTCTATAAAAAACAAAAATAAAATTAATTAAAAAATTAGTTATTAAAAAAAAATTAATTAAAAAATTAGTTATTAATAAAAAAAAAATAAATCAAAAAATTAATTATTAAAAAAAAATAAATTAAAACAAACCTTTGGATTTTTCAGGCAGATCTTCAGGCACATCTGGCAGCAAAACATCCCGAGGAACTTCCGGAACTTCCTCAACTTCCTGAGCAGCAAGAGCGTCAAGCTCAGCCTCAACCTGGCTTTCATCCTCGTCAGTCAGCTGACCCATGAGGAGATCATCCAACTCCTTCTGTTTTTCCAGGCCTTCGCGCGTCTCATCCATCACTTTCTCAATCTCGTCAATTGACAGGACGTCGTGGAGCATCTTTAAAGCTGAGTTACCGATCTTCAACCCATCAATGACCTTAGTCTCTATCTGAGCAAACTCTAAATCGTGAACCATTCGCTCTAAATTCTCCAGCTGATTGTCGGTTTTTGAGAGAACTTGCTCTTGGAATTTCTTCTTGCGCAAAAGCGATAATGCTCGTCTAAAATATTAATAAAATTATTTATTTAATTGTTAAATAAATAAATTTAATAAAGTTAGCCGACATTTTTAATTTTTTCATTTTTAGTTAAAACAAAAAAATATTTTTTAAAAATTCCACTTACAATTTTAAAATTTTTAAAAAATTACATTTTTTTGTAATAGTTTTTTAAATAAAAAAAAAAAATTTTAATGTCAGCTAACTTAATTTTTATAATTAAATAGATAAATTAATTATTCTTACTCTTTACGTCCGCTCTGAAGTAATTTTTTTGCAAGCTCACGATCTTTTTCAAGATTTTGTTCAATTCTTCTTTGGTAAGTTTTTATTTTATCTCTCGCTTGTTTTAATTGCTGTATAAATAATTATGACATTAAAATTAGATAAAAAAATAAAGTAAGCAAACATTTAACAATTAAAAAAATTTAAAGATTAAAAAAATTTTTTTTTAAATTACACATGTAGAAAATTAAAACAATAATAATACATGCAATTTTTTAAAAATATACTTTAGCTCTAATTTTTATTGATGAAAAAAATATAAAAAATTGTTAAATCTCTGTTAATTTTATTATTATTAAAGTTATCAGTTATTTAATGACATTTATGTTAGCTGTCACTTGAATTATTAATAATTTTATTTAACAAATAAATTATTTTTAAAAAATTGCATTTTTTATTTTTTTGTTCAATTTCTAAATGTCAATTTTATTTTCTCATTTTTTTTACAACAATTTATTTGTTAAAAAATTAATAACAATAGAATAAAAATATTCTTTTGTTTCAACAATGTTTTAGAGGTTAACAATATAAATTTATTTATTTACCAGCACAGCTTTGTCTTGTTCAGTAACCCGACTGACAGGTTTCTTCTTAGAAAAAAACAACCCCATATTTATAAATATTTTTTTATAAATTATTAAATAATTTTATCTAAATCACTACAATAAAATTAAAATAAAATTTTCACTTGTGTCACGTCAAAATAATAATACAAGACTGACAAGGGCTTATGCGCAGGAACTTAACTGCGCATGCGCAAGGTAAAAATTTTAAAAATTAAAAAAAAAATTAGCTGACATTTTTGATTTTTTTTTTTTTTTCAATAATTAAATTAGAAAAAAATATTTTTAAAAAATTGCACTTAAAGTTTTTCAAGTTTTTTACAAGTGCAATTTTTTAAAAATTTTTTTGTAGTAATTGTTTCAATGAAAAAAAAATTCTTAAAATTTTCAGATTAATTTTCAGTAAGGGAGTTAGCCGACATGTTTTTTTTTATTTCGCTTAATTTATTAAATTAGAACTAAAAAATATTTTTAAAAAATTACACTTATAGTTTTTGAAGTTTTTAACAAAAAAAAACTTTTTTTGTAATTCTTTAATAAAAAAAAATCATAAAAATATTTAGTGATTTAATCAAAAGTTTTTAATTAATAAATTTCGCTACATTTTTTAAAATTACATTAAAATAATTATTTTTTATTTTAATTAATAAAACCACAAATTTAAAGACAAAATTAAAAATTATTAAATAATTTTCAAATCAAGCTTTTATTAAAAAGTCAAGTTTATTTTTTGTGAACTAAATTTTAAAAATAAAAAATTAAATTTTTAATAAAAAGCTTAAATGAAAATTTCACACGAATTAAAATGAATATAAATACAAAAATATACAAAATATAAGACCTTAAATTTATCAAATATTAATATTGGTAAAAACTTGTAATATTACTTATTGCTTCGGCTTTAAATTTAGTATGATGTGTACATCATATAAAAAAATTCTTGTATATAATTAAAGATACAATATAATAATTAAATTAATAATATAAAAATGCTTAGGCTACTGTGGCTCGGTAGCTGCCTGAGCTAAAATACTGTCGAGCTTCTTGGCGAGAGCTTGTATTGAGCTTTGGGATAATTTACTCTTCATGTGAGTTTTTGATCCAAACAGCCGTTTTATCTTGTTTGTTCTTTTGTTAACTTTGGCTAATTTTGCAGCCTTTGTGGTAAAGTCGATGAGTCGCTTGAATTTTTTTGAACTCATTGAATCATACTCCTCGTATATGGTCTCGAGGGTGTTGTGAGTCAGGTTTTTTATGTTCTTATCCAAGTAATACGCTTTACGTTGGGCGTCTGTTTCGGAAGTTGAGTATGAACGCTTTTTTGGCCGTGAATTGCACCTGAAATTAATAATTAGTTATTATCATTAAAAAATTAAATTATTTATGTTAAGTTGAAAAATATTTTATTGAATTATTCTTAAAATTTATATTTATTACTAGCAACTTTGCGGTCACTATGTGACTGCCGTGATAAGTGAATAATCTATTTTTAATGACTTTAGTTAAATTGCACTGTACTTTTTTAATTATTAAAGTTTTTAAAGATATAAGCTCATCCCGATGTTACACTCATCAAGAGCTTTCATTTGAATACCCACATGTAATTTTGATACATTTGTCATATATACATATATATAATATATATAAATATATAATATATATGAAAAATTGATGTCGGTACTCAAATGAAAGCTCTTGATGACTGTAACATCAGGATGGGCTTATATCTTTAAAAATGTCATTAGTTGACAAGATACAATGTAATCTCTTAATTATTGACATTTTTTAAGAGATAAACTCATTTCGATGTTACACTCATCAAGAGCTTTCATTTGAGTACCCACATGCATTTTTGATATATTTTTTATATATACATATATATATAAATATATAAAATATATGAAAAATTGATGTGGGTACTCAAATGAAAGGTCTTGATGAGAGTAGCATCGGGATGAGCTTATATCTTTAAAAATGTTAATATTTCACAAAATAAAAAGTAATTTCTTCATTATTGATGATTTTCAAGATATAAGCTAATTCCCATGTTACACTCATCAAGAGCTTTCATTAGAGTACCCACATGCAATTTTGATATATTTTTCATATATACATATATATAATATATATAAATATATAAAAAATTGATGTGGCTACTCAAATGAAAGCTCTTGATGAATGTAACATCGGGATGAGCTTATGTCTTTAAAAATGTCAATAGTTCACAAGATACAATGTAATTTCTTAACTATGCTTCTTCGTAACTATAAAAACCCATTTTACCATATAAATATACTACAAAATTTTTCTTATTCTCTTAATAATATCAATTATTTGTAGAAAAGATTTTTTCCAATTATTAAAAAAAATAATCTAGTAATTATTTGCTAATATTTAAAAAATATGACACTAAAATTAGGAGACATTGTTTTATTTTTCGTCAAAAATAAACCAAGTCCAGAAAATTACTTTTAAAAAAATGTATTTTAAATTTTTTAAAGCTTCTAAAGCTTCAATTTTTTTAATTATTCTTTATACAATTAATTAACTCTCAAAAAAAATTTCAAATTTCTCCAAGTTTTAGTAAAAATTACCTTCTATTAAGTCCTGGAGTTGGTGCTGGTGGGTTAGATGAACCTCGAGTCCTTAAAGAATATCGAGCTGAGCTTGCGTCAACACTCAAGCTTTCCATACTAGCAACTACTGCCGGCAAATTTTCATCACATTCCATCTCTTTTTTACTAAAAAAAACAAAATTAAAATCAATTAATTAATTTTAAAAATTAAAACTGACTTTATTTATTAAAAAAAAGAAAACTTAGAAAATATTGAAAAAAAAAATTTATAATTACAAATTTTTAAAGTTTTTTTTTTTATAATAATTTATTTATAATTAAAATCGTTAGATTTTTTTACAATAATTGTTATCAAATACTATATTAATGCAAACGTATTAATAAAAACTAACCTCTCTTTTTGATCCTCAGCCATAATTACAGTCAAATTATCCTTCAATAAAATCTCAGTGGTTAAAAAATTAATTAAAAGTTTTAATAATAAGTAATTAACAATAACATTTTTAAAATTAAAGTAGCGTTTTTATTAAATATAAACTGACAGTTAAATAATTTGTTGACACTAATCCTAATCTACGCTGATAAACGCAAACAGTGAAAAGTGAAATGAAAAACAAGGCCCTCTATCGCTAAAATTAAAAAAATATAAAAATTTACTTACAAAATAATAATAATCATTAAAAAATAATTAAAAATTTTGTAAAATCCAAAAAATTATAAAGTTAAAAATTATTTATTGATTTTTAAAATAAAAATTTTTTTTGCAAAAAAAAAAATAATAAATCTTAAAAAAAAACAATGAAATTTTTTTAAATAAATAATAATAATTATAATTTATAAATTATAAACTCAAAATTAATTTTAAAAACAAAAGAAAACTTTTAAAAATAAAAAAAATGTCTGCGCATGCGCAGAAAGTAAAATTCTGCGCATGCGCAAAAATAACTTTTGAAAAACCCCGGCAGTTGGCGGTAGTATCGCTTCAGTCGTGTGGGTGCAGTCTGCACTCGAGGCGCACGTTCGCCTTACTCAGCTGTTATTAATTATTTAACACTTAAATATCCATGGACAGAATATTGCTGTCTTTCTAAAACAATATTTACATTTAAAACTAAAATAAAATAAAATGTTATCGCCGTAGCAGCATGAAACTGGGTGTACCGCGGAGCAAAGCTTACGGGCTGAAACCAGGGCTCATTGCGTGTAAATTAATAATTGACGGCGTCTGTTAATATTTTTTTATTTTTTATTATCTAGTTACTAGTTATTAACGTGCTGTTGAATTTTTAAATTGTTATATACTTATCATACTCTGTAGATTTAAATACGCCACTGTGTCTTATGTATCAATAATTGACTTGTTATCAATAATCTAAAAAAAATTCGTTGGATATATAAAAAAAAACATAAAAAGTCGCCACGAGGAATAACGAGGTATTTTGTCACATCCCTTCTCTTTATTAACTCATTTATACTTACATATAAATACGCCACATATATATATAATTTAGTGTAATAAAAAAATAAAAACAGCATTAGCGCCTTCACTCACACTAAAATTTTCTCTTTTACTGTCTAATGTCTTTTTTTATTAATTATTACAATATGTATTTATTATTTATTAATTTATTATTAAAATTTTAAATATTAAGTTTTATTAATTACAAAAAAAAAATTTTTTTATAAAATTTTTTTTTTTTATTAAATTTTAATGAAAAAATTAAAAAAAAATTTTTTTTAATTAATTTTTAATAAAAATTTTTTTTTAATTAAATTTTAATAAAATTTTTTTCTAATTAAATTTTAATAAAAAATTTGATTATTTTTTTTTATATTTAGTTTATTAAAATTTTTTTGTAAATTAAACTTTAATAAAATAATTTTGATAATTTTTTTTTTTAATAAAATTATTTTAATATTTTTTTTTTTATTAAATTTTAATACAATTATTTTGATAATTTTTTTTTTTAATAAAATTATTTTAATATTTTTTTTTTTATTAAATTTTAATACAATTATTTTGATAATTTTTTTTTTTAATAAAATTATTTTAATATTTTTTTTTTTTTATTAAATTTTAATAAAATTATTTTGATAATTTTTTTTTTTAATAAAATTATTTTAATATTTTTTTTTTTTTATTAAATTTTAATAAAATTATTTTGATAATTTTTTTTTTTAATAAAATTATTTTAATATTTTTTTTTTTTTATTAAATTTTAATAAAATTATTTTGATAATTTTTTTTTTTAATAAAATTATTTTAATATTTTTTTTTTTTTATTAAATTTTAATAAAATTATTTTGATAATTTTTTTTTTTAATAAAATTATTTTAATATTTTTTTTTTTTTATTAAATTTTAATAAAATTATTTTGATAATTTTTTTTTTTAATAAAATTATTTTAATATTTTTTTTTTTTTATTAAATTTTAATAAAATTATTTTGATAATTTTTTTTTAAATTAAATTATAATAAAATTCTTTTAATAATTTTTAATTAAATTAAATTTAATATTAAAAATAACTAATTTTTTTTATAAGATTCATTTTATTTAAATTTATTAATTAAAACCAGTAATTATTTATCAGCTGTCCTGATTATTAATGAAGATATTTAAATAGTGAATTACAAACTAATTACTGATAGACATTTAGAATAAAAGCTGCGCGTATTTTTTTTTTTTATTAAACCGTGCCAATTGGTTGTTGCTAATGCAAGGCGTGTTCTTATAATATTAAATATATATATCCACATAAATCTACACTCACATTAAAATAATATTTTTTAATATAAAATTGGTATGATAAATTTTCCATAAATAAATTAATATTATTTAAATAAGTGATACATAAATAGTAAAAAAATAAAAGTCTAAAGTCCATGGATATTTATTGCAAATACGAATAATTAATAAAATTTTTTTAGCTACAGGAAATGCAGACTGAGTTGATGTACCGAAAACCAATGATAACAACACGCGGAATGTCGTCGTTAAACACGAGTGTCCACCGTCTGAAGAGAGAGTCTCCGAAAGACTCAAGAGAAACAATTCACTCGGGTCATTTTATGGTCTCGGACTTTGAAGCCGAGGCTCAGGATGACGAAGACGAGCTTGCTGTACCAGTACCTGAGGAGGAGGCTGTTAGAAATACTACAATAGCACCAGTGGGTCTCACTCCGGAAAAATTAATGCCGAAATCTTTGATTGAAAATTCATTAAATAAATTATTTCAGTGCATGTCATTGGCTTACAGGTGAGAAAATTTTAATTTAAAAATTTATTTTTTAATTTAAAAATTAATACTTTAATTAATAAGAGATATTTTTTTTTGGTTTGATATCGAAATATATTATTTAAAAATAATTTTTAAAATTATCTCCGGACTTTGATCGCATCTAAATTACTCACTCAATTTCAGTAATAATTTTTATTTTAAATAAATACTATTATTTTTATAAAAAGTAATACAGTTGAAAAAAAAAAATGCACGATTATTGAACTAAAATTTTATAAGAAGGGGAAGTAACAACCACGTGTTGCTTTAAATATACTTACGTAATTATTGGTGGTCAATGAACGCAATACTTTTTTTTTTGTTATTTATTTTTTATTTTATTTTAACACTCGGAGGATTTATTTAGCTGTTGTTATTTTTTTAGATGATTGTAAAAAAAAAAATTAAAGAGTATGTAGGCTTAGTGGCGTAATGCATTTGATAATAGACGATTGAATTTAATGAGTAGAGAGAACATTGAGAACTTTAACATCAACATTACAATTGAAAGCAAGTGACGTTACGTCTTTTAAATTTTTATTTATAAATAATCAATGGTATTTATAAATTGTTTTTTAGATTTATTTATCTATTTTAAATATTTTATTTACTAGCAACCTTGGTACTGCCGTGACTTGCGAACTATTAATAAATAAAATTTTGCTTTATTAAATTAATTACTTTTGTTAAATTGCACTGTTTTCTTAAATATTGACGTTTTTAAAGATATAAACTCATTTCGATGTTACACTCATTGAGAGCTTTCATTTGAGTACCCACATGCATTTTTGATATATTTTTCATATATTCATATATATAATATATAATTTAAAGATATAAGCTCATCCTAGTGTTGCACTCATTAAGAGCTCTCATTTGAGTACCCACTTGCATTTTTGATATATTTGTCATATATTTATATATATAATATATATATATAAATATATAAAATATATGAAAAATTCATGTGTGTACTCAAATGAAAGGTCTTGATGAGTGAAACATCAAAATGAGCTTATATCTTTAAAAATGTCAATAGCTCACAAGATACAAGACCATTTTTTAATTATTGATGGTTTTTAAGATATAAGCTCATCCTGATGTTACACTCATCAAGAGATTTTATTTGAGTACCCACATGCATTTTTGATATATTTTTCATATATTCATATATATAACATATATATTTTAAAGATATAAGCTCATCCTGATGTTACACTCATTAAGAGCTTTCATTTGAGTACCCACATGCATTTTTCATATATTTGTCATATATACATTTGTATAATACATATATATAATATTTATAAATATATAAAATATATGAAAAATTGATGTGAGTATTCAAATGAAAGGTCTCGATGAGTGTACCATCAAGATGAGCTTATATCTTTAAAAATGTCAATAGTTCACAAAATACAAGATCATTCTTTAATTATTAATAATTTTAAAAATGTAAGCTCATCCTGATGTTACACTCATCAAGAGCTTCCATTTGAGTACCCATACGCAATTTTGATATATTTTTCATATATACATATATATAATATATAATTTATATAAATATATAAAATATATGAAAAATTGATGTGGGTAGTCAAATGAAAGGTTTCGATGAGTGTAACATCAAGATGAGCTTATATCTTCAAAAATATCGATAGTTCATAAGATACAAGGTCATTTTTTAATTATGTATCTAGAAAAGGCAGAAATTCAAATCAAGACTTTTCCAAAAATACCAAATTTAACTATAAAAACCCATTTTATTATTTAAATACACTGGCCACAAAATTTTATTCTCTTAATAATATAGATAATTACCGAGCCAATTTTTTTTTTTTATTTATTTCAGTCGTCTATTTAAATTAAAATTAATGGCGTAATTAAAACAAATATATTGAACAAAAAATTAGTGGTTTAAACCACGTGCGATAAACAATTCAATGAATGATGTCATTATCGCATTAAAAATACGCACGTGTTTAATAGTAATTTTATCATATAAATTTATGTTCATTTTTATCATTATAAGTTAATTTTTTCCTTTAAAAAAAAAGTTAGAAATTTTAAAATAAAATTTTTAAGTAGTTTGTAAAGTGTGTGATGTGGAAAAATTAATTACGAGTATTTAAGTACAAGGGATTATCTTTATCAAGATCCAAGGCCGACATTTGTAACGTCATCAGATAGTTAATGAGCGTTTATCGATAAGGAACGAAATCAAGCCTCCGTCTACGCCTTTATTTTTTTGTATAGTTTGTTTTCATTTTGATTAGAATTTTAAAATCACCATTGACCTATGACACGGTTGTAATTCAGAGTAAATTATTTTTTAATTTTATTTTACCAGGAAGTAGATTTTATTTTATTACAAAATGCACTGTCATATTTTATTAGTTTATAACTTGTGTCTTAGAATATTTATTATTATTATTACTTTGAATTTTTCATTTTTCTCAATATTTTTTATTAAGCCTTATATTATCACGACAAACAATTTTATCTGATGATAAGAATTTATCGAACGACGTGGCTCTAAAATTAAGTCTAGAAATCTTAGGAGCTAAATTTAATATTTAATTATTAATAAATATTTACTTGATTAAAAAGTAAAATTTTATTTATTGAAAAAAATTTAATTTTTAAATAAAATACAAATTTTTTTAATTTAAGGTAGAAGCCTCAATTATTGACACTATTAGACAGAAAGTTATGATTTGATTTTTTTAAAAATCAAATATCAATATTAATTTTGTTTGTGGTAATGTCTCAAGTAATGTTTTTACTAATCAAATTTTTTAAAATGATAATCACTGATATTTACTAATTAATTTTAAATAATTACATAGATTATCCGGAGATAGCAATTATTGGCAGGTTAAAAAACTGATTGATCTAATTATTGACATACCTTCGCCCCAATTATTGACACCTATACTAAGCAAGCCTACAATCATCTGCTTAGTCTTATTTATCCGAACTTATTATTAAGTAATCAATTTTATTAAAGTTTATTAATAATAATTTCCATAAATGATTAATTACTTTTAAAAATATAAAAATTCATTTTAAAATAATTTATTTAATCAGAAGAGTTCAAATCCTTACAGTTAATTTTTTAGATTAAAGTCAAAAAAAGACGTCTTAGCGCTGTCGAATGGCTGTCAATATGAGATTCAACTTAAAAATTATCAACTAGTTATTGACACCCATTATTTAAATATTATAAAGCATACAATTAATTTCGATTATTCAATTTTATAAATTTTTCATATATTGTTAATTAAAAAAAAAAAAGATGATATTATTAGATGAAGAAATGAATTTAAACGGCATTTAAAAAAAATGCTTTTCTAATCAAAGTTGTTAAGAAAATAAACATTCGTTAGCTGGTTTTCTGGTGGTAACTTTATTTTTTAATAATTAATACTTAATATTAACTGACAGTAATTTTTTAAAATTTTTTAATTAATTAGAATTTAATAAAAATTTATATAGTTATTCTTATTACAGATGATTTTATTTAAAAATAATTTAGGGTGTCAATATTTAGATCCCTGTCAATATTTGGGGCTTTTACTTTAATATAAAAAATTTATAATAATTTACAAAAAAAGCTTTAATAATATTTTGCAATCGTAATAATTTTTTTTTATTTTCTTATCCGGTTAAAAAAATTTATCTTTAATTTATCGATTTCTCTAGAAGATTTCTAATTTTTTAAATTAATTTTTTTTATTAGATTTGTAATTAACGTAATCATTAATTTCTATTTCATAATTTTTTGTAGATAAAAAAAAATTATTTTTAACTCTACATTAGTTAATTATATGTATAGATTATTAAAAAATGTAACTTGTACTTAAAGTGATTGAAATTATTTTTAAAAATAATTGTGATGACTTTGAAAATTAGTTGTCATAATTATATTTTTTTTTTTTAGAAAAATAGTACCGTATAATTTAATAAAATACAATAAGACAATTTATAAAAAATATAAATATATAATAAAAAATTTTATTGACGTCTATTTGTTAAATGACAAAGAAAAAGTGAATAAATGTTTAATTCCGAGTAATGAGGAAAATACTTCTGACTTGAGCAAAGTAAAGCTGGAGTTAATTGAAAAAAATTAAATACAATTGATCGATTGATCTTAAAATAATAAGCAATTAAAGATAGAATAAAAAAGCATGCAATCTTTTTGAAAATTACTGTCAATTAGTTTAGTAAATTTTTATCAGCTTTATTTTTAAATTATTATTTATTAGTGGATTAGTAATAAGTGTTTGAGTTTAAAAAAAAATTTAATATTTTTATTTAAATAATGGAATTTGTTGTAGACAGAAGTTAACGTCACCTAAGTGGAATCGCTTTAAAGGAATACGGCTGAGATGGAAAGACAAGATAAGATTGAATAATGTAATCTGGAGATGTTGGCATATGCAGTGTAAGTGTTGTATTATTTTTATTATTATTATTTAATTTTTAAAAATTTAGTGCATGAAATTTAGTAATAAAAATCATATTAATAATAATAATTTTTAGGAGTAAATATTTTTAAATTTTAATGTGACAAATTATTATTATTATTATTATTATTATTATTATTGAATATTAGTATATAAAACATTGAAATTAACAATGGCAATAATAATAATAATTAATAATAATAATAACATAAATAATGACTTTCGTTAAATTGCACTGTACTTTCTTAACTATTGAGATTTTTAAAGATTTAAGCTCATCCCGATGTTACACTCATCAAGAGCTTTCATTTGAATACCCACATGCATTTTTCATATATTTTATATATATAATATATATTATATATATGTATATATGAAAAATATATCACAAATGCATGTGGGTACTCAAATAAAAGGTCTCGATGAGTGTAATATCGGTATGAGCTTAAATCTTTAAAAATATCAATTATTAAGAAATTACATTATATTTTGTCAACTAATGATATTTTTAAAGATATAAGCTCATCCCGATGTTACACGCATCAAGACCTTTGATTTGAGTACCCACATGCATTTTTCATATATTTTATATATTAAACGCTTCAGCGGCTTTGGTCCATCAGGTACATCTTCTTTCGTGGCCTTCTCCTCCATCTGCCTGAATATGGAGAGCATTTTTTTTGTCGTGTCTGTATGAACTAGCTGGTCTACTTTGTCGTCCGCTCGTATTACATCCGGATCCCGATAAATTTCACGTTCCGGTGAATTCACCTAGTTTTATAATAATAAAATAAAAATAATTATTGAGTATTATCATAATTGTTTCTTTGAACTCATAGCAAAACATTATTATTAAATCCAAGATTTTTGTTTTTATTATTTAAATTAAAAATTTAATTTTTTACAAAAAAATTTTCTTGTAATTTTTTTTTTACAGCCAATATTTTTACCGTAATTTATTAATTAAAGTTCATAATTAATTATTAAAATTTATACTAATTATAAAAAAATTAATTAAAAAATTGCGGCTTTTTTTATTGGTCTTAAAAAAAATCTATAATACTTTTTTTTTACAAAATTAAATTTTAAACTTTTAAAAAAAATTTTTTTATATGACCAATATATAAAAAATTTAATTATTATTGTTATTATTAAATAAAAAATCCTGGCCATAATTATAACAAATAATATTAATAAAAAAAAAAATAAAATATTAACTTGCAAATAGACTCAATCACACAAAGTCATTATGTAATAATAATATCATAAAGAAGATTGTAATTATGGGAAATAATAATAATCTTGATAGGGTTAATTGTGCTGTTAGATGAAACCGGCAAACGCGTAACACACAGCAATAATAGTAATTATTTGAATGTATATGCAGTATTATTTAATTGCGTAGTCACCATTAAAACAAAATCTTAATTATCCCATCACACATACGCACACAAACCTTAACTTGTCCATCACGTGGTGGCGTTATTCTGAACTGCTTTCTTTCTTTCTCCGGTTCTTTATATGTCTCAAAAAATTTAAATTTATTTGAGATGTCGGATGTCTCGACTTGAATTTCTTCGGTAGTATCTGTACTACGAACCACATCGTCTGCTCGTACCTGACGTCCCATAAATATCTTTTTTTTTATTACAACTCCCCAGTTAATCAATCATTCTTTTTTAAATAATAATAATGAAAAAAAAAATTCAAAGTATTTAAATAAAATAGAAACGAGTAATTTACGCGATGATACTGATAACAGTTATTACAAATATCTACAGTATATTTTTCATATATACATACATATATAATATATGAAAAATTGATGTGGGTATTCAAATGAAAGGTCTCGATGAGTGTAATGTCAGGATGAGCATATATCTTTGAAAATGTCTATATTTCACAAGATACAAGGTCATTTCTTAATTATTAATAATTTTAAAGATGTAAGCTCATCCTGATGTTACACTTATCAAGAGCTTTCATTTGAGTACCCACATGCATTTTTGATATATTTTTCATATATACATATATATAATATATATAAATATATAAAATATATGAAAAATTGATGTGGGTACTCAAATGAAAGGTCTTGATGAGTGTAACATCGGAATGAGCTTATATCTTTAAAAATGTCAATAATTAACAAGATACAAGTTCATTTCTTAATTATGTATCTAGAGATAAAGCATTTTCGATTTTATCATATGACTATTATCCTGGACACAAAATTTTTCTTATTCTCGTAATAACAAAGATAATAATAATAATAATTGAATTCATTGTAATTGGATTAACTAGAGTAATAAAATGAATAACTAAGAAAATAATTAACTAAAAATAAAAATGGGATAAGTTTAAAATGAGCGGTCGAGTTAAAGATAAGAAAATAATGCGATGAGTTATATCTTTAATTTTTTAAAATTATTTTTTTTTTAGTTTACTAATAAAACATATGAGTTATAAGATGTCAATAAAAGTAAACACGCTTTAACCACGTGTTAATTTATTTTCTTATGAAATCTTATTACATATTTTCATAAATCACCACTACTATGATTATTGTTATTATTATTTTTATTTAATCTACCATTTAATTCTTAACTTAAACTTTCTTTAATCAGTTAACATCGCGATATCATCCAAACAATTTCATAATTCCTGTAAATCATTATATTTTTAATTTGTCTTGAAGTAACAGTACTAATAAAAAAAAAGAGTTATTATTATTATAAATATAATAAAGTCAAAAACTAGAGTAAAGTAATTAGACAAATGTAAATATTTATTTATCAAAAAAAAAAAAAAAATATTATTTTGTGATGAAAAAATTATTTTTAAGGGATACAATTTTTATTTATTTATTATTAATTATAATTTAAATTTAAATTTAAATAATGTAAACAAAGGTGTTAATTTTATAAATTTATTTTTGCAGTCATATTAAAACAAAATACTTTGGTGTGTCAATTTGCATCACCTCTGGATGTTGATACTCACAATAAACCTGAAGTAAGTATATAATAGTACAATAACACTTACAACAATAATCGAGTACAGACGGTTTCAATAAAAAGAATCCCTACATAGATATCACGTTCTAATTATATCGTGTCTGGCTTCGTAAAGTTTCTTCACATTTTACAATCAATTATCATAATAAAAATCAGTGGAAATTTTTTTGTTAATTCTTCTGCTGTACAATTGTTATAATTATTATTATTAATTTATTTATTTATAATTATCTTTATCAGGCTGTGGTGCTCGAGGGCAAATACTGGAAGCGAAAACTCGCGGCTGTTACGGCTGAGTATAAAAAATGGCGTATGTTTTATCGAAACAAAATTCTGGGATGGACCAACAAGGATGGGATGGTAATTTTATTTTTTCAAGTAGAAAAATTAGATCATAAGTACTTGGTCGAAAAAAAGTAATTTTTGAATTATGGTTTTAAGGATCTTTTTAAGTGAATATAAAAATTAATTTATTAAAATTTTGAAGTCTTACTAGGGAGCAGTCACTACGTGACTGCTCAAAATTAAGGATTGTAAATGAGAAAATTTAGACTTGATGATTTTTTTATATTTATGACACTATACATAGTCTGGGTACTTTTTAAATAAATTTTAAAAATAATAGTGCTATCACAGGATCAATTACTAATTATTTAATGGACAAATGTCACGGAAAAAATTTATAGAACCAACAAACTATTAAAAACTCCTCCAAAAACTTTAAATAAAAAATTGACTACTAAAAAATCTATTAAACCAAAAGGCACTAATTCTTATTAAGACCTTTCTGATGGTAACAAATTAAACTACAAAAATTCCTTTAAAAATAATAATATGCTCGTCGGAAAATTTTCCTTACTCTTGAAATTATTTAAATCATAAATGACTATCGCTGAAAAAATATCAAACCCAATTTACGATAAAGATATACCCGTTTAAAATTTTTCTTAGTCTCTTAATTATATAAATTAATTTTTGACAAACCACATTGACATGTACAAAGCAAAATAAATAAATAAACAATTTTTGTTTATCGTGAAATTCTAATCTATTTATACTTCAAAAAGTTATCATAATAAACTATTTTAGAAAAGGAAATGAAACATTTTAAAGGCACTAATTCAAGTCTCGACTTTTTCAATGATTCTAAATTTAATTTAAAAAACTCATCATATAAGTACACCAAAGACAAAATTATATAAATTAGCAACCTTGCAGTCACTATGTGACTGCCGTGACTTTTGAACTTTAATAAATAAAATTTTGCATTATTGAAAAATGATTTTTGTTAAATTGTAGTGTACTTTCTTAAATATTGAAGTTATCAAAGATATAAGCTCATCTTGATGTTACACTCATCAAGACCTTTCATTTAAGTACCCACATGCATTTTTTATATATTTTTCATATATACATATATATAAAATATATAAATATATGAAAAATTGATGTCGGTACTCAAATTAAAGGTCTCGATAAGTGTAACATCAAGATGAGCTTATATCTTTAAAAATGTCAATAGTTAACAAGATACAATGTAATTTCTTAATTATTGACATTTTTCAAGATATACCCGTTAAAAATTTTTCTTACTCAATTTTTCATATATTTATATATTTTATATATATGTATATATGAAAAATATATAAAAAATGCATGTGGGTACTTAAATGAAAGGTCTTGATGAGTGTAACATCAGAATGAGCTTATATCTTTAAAAATGTCAATAGTTCTCAAGTTACAAGGTCATTTCTTAATTATAATTCACAATAAATAAAATAAAAATTTTTCTAGCTGGAGTCAATGGATATGTTAGATTGGGACACCGGTGGAATGACACCATCATCTTGTTTTTCTGGGAGCATGATTTCACACGGCGGAGTGAGTGGTATGCAAGGCCCGGATAGTATGATGGTCGATGAAGATTACATGGATTTAATGACAGACACATTGTTCTCAACAATAACTGCCAACCAGCCGTATCATTTTCCTGACACCCGTGAAATTGGTATTTAATTCACCAAAAAATCTTAAAAAAATTCTTCAATATATAATTAATTATTAATTTATTTATCAATTAATTTAGTAATTATTAATCAATTAAACTTAAAAACTTCTAGCAAGAGAATTATAAATTCTCTAATTTATAATTAATTAATTAATTATTAATTAAACTTTAAAACTTCTAGCAAGAGGAGCGAGTCTCGCCGACTTTATCCAACCGAGTCTCGGGCCGCTGCAGCCGAACCTGGACGACTTTATGGACACTCTGGAGCCTCTGCAAGAATTTTTAAACTCAAAACTCCCATCAGTGCCCGAGGAAGAGGACATCTTCCGAAATGGGACTCTTAACAGCAATTACTCGGACAATTACTCCGAGTTAATGGCGTCTATGAATCAAATCAACCAGGTGGCCCAATTGTCAGAAGCTTCTAATGACGTAGCGGTCCAGCAATCGTTGCGTCAAGAGCAAAGCGACTTGCAGAGTCTCCAGTACACTGCTAAAATTTACACCCAGACGCAAGACTACCGCGGCAACGTCGTCGACTCGTACTCCAGCCGCCAGCCTTACGAGAGTCAGAGTCCCTTGAAGGAAAAATCCCGGGGAAGATCTACGCATCGCAACCGCGTGATCCAGCAGCCGTTTAATCAAAACCCGCAAGTTATTTATCAAACTCCTTCACGCAGTTACAATTCTCAGGAGCTCCAGCCTCTGCTTAATACTAACAGCCAAGCTATGAATTTAAATTCGAGTCAAATTACCATGGACAATGTCAACCTGGTCACTAATTATTCTCTTCCACAAGAGTCACAGCCTCAGCAGCGCGCCTTAAGGCCCATGCCGCAAATTTCTGATCCGTTTAAGATTGTGCCTCAGACTTACAAATTACCCACTACTACTTTAACTTCTTCGTCGAGCTCTTCTACGTCGTCTTCGTCGCAGTCATACAATCAGTACAAATATAAGGTAATTATAATATTTTTGATAAATTTTTGGAGCAATTTTAAAATAAATTTAAAAGGTTCTAATTTTTCATAAAAAATTTTTTTCGACTTTTATTGAAGCAAAAAATTATCTAAGACTTGAAAATTATTTTTTATTCATAAAATAATTATTTTTTTAAGTTAAATTAATCAAGATTTAGATTTTTCAACAATTTTTGAAATAAATGATTTAAATTTTTTATTTAAACAAAAATTCAAAATTTAATTTTGTAAAAAAAATGTTTCTTATGATTTTTTTTTTTTAGGGCCAATATAAAAGCAGTAATTTCAAAATTAAGATTGACAATTAAAGACTCAAAATATTTTTTAGAATTTTTTTAATAAATAAATTATATCAAGAAAAATTTATTTATGAAATTTCATGTTTAGAAGCTTTGAAAAATTATATATTAGATTTTTTTTTAAGTATTTTTCTAAATCTAGTATATTTTTAAAGAAAAATAAATTTTCATCTGCTAATTTGAGTGTCATACTATAATTAATAGAAAAAAATTTTTTTTTATTAAGTACAATATTAAAAAGCTGTAATTATAATTTTTTAAAGCTTCTAAAAATTTAATTTTTAATAAAAATTAACTTAACCAACATCTAAAATCTTTTAAAATTTTTTTTATTGAAAAAATTGTTACAAAAAACTTTTTATTTGAAAAAAACTGCAAGTGCAATTTAAAAAAAATTATGTTATTAATTACTAGCAACCTTGCAGTCACTATGTGACTGCCGTGGTTTGTGAACTAAAAGAAATTAAAATTTAGTTTTATTAAATAATGAATTTTGTTAAATTGCACTGTACTTTCTAAAATATTGACATTTTTAGACATATAAGCTCATCCTGATGTTACACTCATCAAGAGCTTTCATTTGAGTACCCACATGCACTTTTGATATATTTTTCATATATACATATATCATATATATAAATATATAAAATATATGAAAAATTGATGTGGGTACTTAGATGAAAGGTCTTGATGAGTGTAACATCAAAATGAGCTTATATTTTTAAAAAAATGTCAATAGTTCACAAAATACAAGGTCAGTTCTAAATTATTGACATTTTTTAAGATATAAACTCATCCCGATGTTACACTCATCGAGACCTTTCATTTAAGTACCCACATGGCATTTTTTATATATTTCATATATATAGTATTTATAATATATATTTATATAAATATATAATATATATATAAAAAATTGATGTGGGTACTCAAATGAAAGGTCTCAATGAGTGCAACATTAAAATGAGCTTATATCTTTAAAAATGTCAATACTTCACAACATACGTGATTTCTTAATTATTGACATTTTTCAAGATATAAACTCATTTCCACGTTACACTCATCGAGACCTTCCATTTGAGTACTCACATTCATTTTTGATATATTTTATATATATATGGTATTTATAAAATATATAAATATATAATATATATAAAAAATTGATGTGGGTACTCAAATGAAAGGTCTTGACGAGTGTAACATCAGGATGAGCTTATATCTTTAAAAATGTCAATACTTCACAACATACGTGATTTCTTAATTATTGACATTTTTCAAGATATAAACTCATTTCCACGTTACACTCATCGAGACCTTCCATTTGAGTACTCACATTCATTTTTGATATATTTTATATATATATGGTATTTATAAAATATATAAATATATAATATATATAAAAAATTGATGTGGGTACTCAAATGAAAGGTCTTGACGAGTGTAACATCAAGATGAGCTTATATCTTTAAAAATGTCAATATTTCTCAAGATACAGGGTAATTTCTTAATTATGAAATTTCTTTTTAACAGTGTAATTCAAAAGTAGCAGCCCAACCAGTGACAGTAACCGTCTCCTCAACAAACCCATCTCAACCGCACATTCTCCTGCAATGCAAGCCATCAGGTCTGGACCTATCAACATCTCTCCCGCCTCAAAAAATAATCCCCCGCCCATCTGGAGGTTGTTCCTCGACTCCGGAAAAAGAGGACATATTTGCGGTGCCAAAGTACCAGATGAAGGCTCGGAATCGTTCACGGAGCAGCTCGGCGCTTTCCGTCACCAGGAATCACCCGGCGCCTTTGGTATCAGCAGTGAGCGACCCGGCATTAAATATCAACAACAATGTCCTGCTGGCCCACCTGTTGACCAACAACACGACCGGGTTATATACAGTGACCAGCGGCCCGGAAAAAATTATCACCACTGTGTCCAACCCGACGATGACCAACCCGGGTATTAAAAATATCCTTCCTATTAATATGCTGCCCAGCAATCCTGGGGTCAGTGTCCAGACTCTGGCGAGTTCAGTTGGAGTCCCAGCTGGACAATCTGCGATTCAACGCGGGTTGACAAACCCAATTCTTTCTGGCGTGAACCAAAGTCCGAGTCCCAGTCAAGTGCCAAGCCAGCAGCAGAACAGTCCCGGGTCACCGAATGATTCTTCTGCTCACAGTCCCCAAGCTCTGAGTATAAGTCCTCTTCACAGTCCCATGAGCATCGGCAGTCCTCTGTCGCCATCTAGGATTTATGTCAAAGGAGAGTCCAGCGAGCGGGGACAGTACAAAGAGTCCCGGCGCGTTGGGCACATTCATGCTGAACAAAAGCGGAGGTACAATATTAAAAATGGCTTTGATACTCTTCATAGTCTTATTCCGCAGCTGAACCAGAATCCTAATGCTAAGCTCAGTAAAGCTGCCATGTTGCAAAAAGGCGCGGAGTATATCAGGCAGCTGAGGAGCGAGAGAAATTTGTTGAAAGAAGAAATGGATAGCTTGAGGCAGGAAATTGATTCTCTTAATACTTCTATTAGGTAGGAATTTTTTTTATTATTTAATTTTGAACCTAAGTGCTAAATATTGGAATAATAGAACAGTACTTGTGAAATATAAATAAATTAAATAATGACTTGGTAAATTAGACTGTACTTTCTTAAATATTAAGGTTTTGAAAGATATAAGCTCATCTCGATGTTATACTCATCGAGAGCTTTCATTTGAGTACCCACATGCATTTTTCATATATTTTTCATATTTACATATATATGATATATATATAAATATATGAAATATATGAAAAATTGATGTAGGTACTCAAATGAAAGGTCTTGATGAGTGTAACATCGGGATGAGCTTATATCTTTATAAATATCAATATTTCACAAGATACAAGGTCAATTCTTAATTATTGATAATTTTAAAGATGTAAGCTCATTTCCATGTTACTCTCATCAAGAGCTTTTATTTGAGTACCCACATGCATTTTTGATATATTTTTCATATTTACATATATATATATATATACTATATAAATATATGAAATATATCAAAAATTGATGTGAGTACTCAAATGAAAGGTCTCGATGAGTATAACATCGGGATGAGCTTATATCTTTAAAAATGTCAATAGTTTACAAGATATAAGGTAATTTCTTAATTGTTGACATTTTTTAAGATATAAACTCATTTCGATGTTACGTTCATTGAGAGCTTTTATTTGAGTACCCACATGCATTTTTGATATATTATTGATATTTATATATATATAATATATATAAATATATAAAATATATGAAAAATTGATGTGAGTACTCAAATGAAAGGTCTCAATGAGTATAAGGTCGGAGTGAGCTTATATCTTTAAAAATGTCAATATTTCAGAAGATACAAGGTAATTTTTTAATTATTGACATTTTTAATATATAAACTAATTTCGAGGTTCCTCTCATTAAGAACTTTTATTTGAGTACCCACATGCATTTTCATATATACATATATATATATATAATATATATAAATATATTTTATTGATTTGATCTTTCTTTACAGTAATAGTCAGTCTCAATTACCGGCAACAGGAGCACCTGTATCTCGGCAGAGGTCTAATAAAATAAAGGAAATGTACGATGATTATGTCCGCAAACGTACTCAAGAAAATTGGAAATTTTGGATTGTTAGTATCTTCTATTTTCTATTTTTTCTACAAACATTATTTTTATTTATATAAATTAATTTTTTTGTTTCAGTTCAGTAAAGTTTTGGAGTCATTGTTGATTTCATTTAATGGTACTGTATCAACAGCGAGTATCAATGATCTTTGTAGAAGTACTGTTATGTGGGCTGATCAATATTGTGCTCTTGTAGACCTTAGACCAGGTAATTTATTTTTTTAACAGGATTTTGTTAAATTGCACTTTACTTTCTTTAATATTGACATTTTTAAAGATATAAGCTCATCCCGATGTTACACTCATCAAGAGCTTTCATTTGAGTACCCACATGCATTTTCATATATACATATATATATAATATATATATAGATATATAAAATATATGAAAAATTGATGTGGGTACTCAAACGAAAGGTCTTGATGTGTGTAACATCGGAATGAGCTTATATCTTTAAAAATGTCAATAGCTCACAAAATACAAGGTAATTTCTTAATTATGTATCTAGAAATAGAGCATTTTTAATTATCATCATAAATTAAAACTTTTCCAACGATACAAAATTTGATTAATAACTAAAAAAATTTTTAAATTAATAATAAATTTAATTTCAGCTGTATTGAATTCATTAAGGTATCTATGTACAGCAACAGACATACTAACAGATCCTGAGCGCTTACCTGAAGAAGCTCTGGCAGCTGTTAATCGTACAGACAAACAAAAATCAACTCAACAGTAATTGTCACCTTGATAAATATTATTTTATAATTAATAATAATATTATTGTCTTGAATTAATAAGTTTATTAAAACCATCGTGTATGGCACAAATTAATTGTTGACGAAAATCAAGTGCAATTGTTTAATCTCTCGTCACAATTAAAAAGATAACACTAATTAATATTTTAAAAACTAAGCGTGATAATTGAGAAGTTTTTAAATCTAAATTTTATTTTTTATTTCAATATATTATTTTTTTAACAATTTATCTTTTTAAACTTCTCAATAGTCAATTATAATAATTGATATTTAATTGTTTTTTATAAAAAGGTACAAATTATATAATCAAAAGTATGGAAAGCTTAAAAATTAAAATTTTTGGCCTTAACTTGCCGATAAATGAGCTTTTTATAATTATATAATTAAAATTAAAGCACTCCATACTTTGAACAAAAAAAATATATATATATATACTTATTGTAAATTATAAATTTAATATTAATCTAACAGTGTACCTATAAGAAAATTGTTGAATATTTTTTATACCAATCTTGAGAAATAATTTAAAAGCGGATATACTAAAAAAAAAAAAAAAAAAAAAAAAAATTTGCTATTAAATTTACAATTAAATGTAAAAATACTAATTAATAAACAGTTACTTATATTTGTTATATAAATGATTAAAATAATTATAAAGATATTTTATTATTTATTTATTGCTTGTAAAAAATTAAGCCTACTAACAAGGATGGATTTTTTTTTAACAGTTCGTTAATTATTTATAAATAATTTAATAAAATTATTTATCAATAATTTATATAAAATATCTTACAATTTTACAATCTTAATTTTGTTTAAAAATAAATTATTTTTTTTATAATTCTAGGGACCACCAATGCACAGCCTTTGTCGAAATAAGACAATGCTAATTTTTTATAAAAAAAAATTTATGTAAGATAAAAGCCCCAATTATTGACACTAAGAGACAAAGTTATAATTTAATTTTTTTTTAAATCAAATAATATCAATTTTGTTTGTGGTACACGGAAAAAACAAGATTATACTGGATATAATCCCAGATTATACTGAGTGAAAAAAAATTTTCAGATAGTAGCTAGTATAATCCAGATAACAATGAGTATAATCCAGATATCATTGAGTATAATCTGGATTATACTAGCTACCATATGAAAATTTTTTTCGCCTCAGATGTCACTGAGTATAATCTGAGATGGTATCCAGTGTCATTTTGTTCTTTCCGTGTAATGTCTCAAGTAATGTTTTTACTAATCAAATTTTTTAAAATTATAATCACTGATATTTACTAATTAATTTTAAATAATTACATAGATTATCCGGAGACACCAATTATTGGCAGGTTAAAAAACTGATTGATCTAATTATTGACATACCTTCGCCCCAATTATTGACACCTATACTAAGCAAGCCTACAATCATCAGCTTAATCTTATTTATCCAAACTTATTATTAAGTAATCAATTTTATTAAAGTTTATTAATAATAATTTCCATAAATGATTAATTACTTTTAAAAATATAAAAATTAATTTTAAAATAATTTATTTAATCAGAAGAGTTCAAACTCTTACAGTTAATTTTTTAGATTAAAGTCAAAAAAATGCGTCTTAACGCTGTCGAATGGCTGTCAATATGAGATTCAACTTAAAAATTATCAACTAGTTATTGACAGCCATTATTTAAATATTATAAAGCATACAATTAATTTCGATTATTCAATTTTATAAATTTTTCATATATTGTTAATTAAAAAAAAAAAGATGATATTATTAGATGAAGAAATTAATTTAAACGGCATTTAAAAGAAATGCTTTTCTAATCAAAGTTGTTAAGAAAATAAACTGGTTTTAACTGGTGGTAACTTTATTTTTTAATAATTAATATTTAATATTAACTGACAGTAATTTTTTTAAATTTTTTAATTAATTAGAATTTAATAAAAATTTATATAGTTATTCTTATTACAGATTATTTTATTTAAAAATAATTTAGGGTGTCAATATTTAGACTCCTGTCAATAATTGGGGCTTTTACCTTGTATATTTTTAAATAGTAAAAAAAAAGTAATCTACTTTGATTGAAATAAGTATAAATATTATTAATTATTTGCACTAATCTATCAGTCAAAAAAATATTACTGTACATTTATAATAATTATCTTTCATTGTCTTCATTGTCTACTAACATTGACTCAGCTTCATTTTTATCTGTAACAATTTCAAAAATTATTTAAAAATTTTTTAATATTTATCAACAATTTTTCTCTGAAAAAAAAAAATAATTATAAAATTTACTAATTAATTTTGTAAAATTTTTCATGCAAAAAAAAAAATAAAGCCACTACTAAAAAAAATTTTTTTAAATAGGCAAGCTTCATCTTTTATCTTATAAAATATTATTATTAATTAATTAATAAAAAAAGCTTTTTTGTAACAACACAAGTGCAATTATGTGACAAGTGAAATTAATAAAAAAATAATTTAACATTTATTTTTAAAAAGCGGAAATGGAGAGTACCTCTATTGGACCAGCAAATAATCCAGTTGGTCATAATTCATGATTGATAATACTAAATCTAATTACTGGTTAAATTTGTAATTTAATTTAATGTTATGGTATGGTATGGTATGTAATGGAGAATAAATGTAATGTTGAGGAAAAAATGATAAAAAAAAAATAATGTAAATGAAAAGTACCATATTACGGAGCATAACTAGTCAGATGAGGGCCCATTGGTGAATAATATTTTTTCTACAAACGCGTTGATTCTGCTTGCCCATTATTCTTAGCTTTTAGACATTCAGCTGCAAGAAACATCGTTGTAAGTTTTAAATAATAAAATAATATTCCCATGCGTATGCTGAGAAATAAATGTTTTTATTAAAATTTGTTATTGAATGATTTTTATTTTAAATCGGTAAAATAAGTTGTAAAAAATTTATCATTCAATAACAATGTGATTAATCTGTTAAAAAAAAAAAAAAAAAAATATTAATTAAACTGAAAATTAAGTGCAATTAATGTATCTGAATTTTTATAAAAATGTTTTGCATGCAAATGCAGATCCATTTATTATGATTATATAAATATTATGTTTAACTAAATTAGTACAAATCTAATTTAAAAAAAAAAAAGTTTTTAAGTAAAATTTTGCTGTTTTAAATAATGACTTTTGTTAAATTGCTCTGTACTTTTTTAAATATTGACATTTTTTAAGATATAAGCTCATCCTGATGTTACACTCATCAAGATCTTTCATTTGAATACCCACATGCATTTTTGATATATTTTTCACATATAAATATATATAATATATATAAATATATAAAATATATGAAAAATTGATGTGGGTACTCGAATGAAAGGTCTCGATGAGTGTAACGTCAGGGTGAGCTTATATCTTTAAAAAGGTCAATTGTTTACAGGATACCAGGTCATTTCTTAATTATTGACATTTTTTAAGATATAAACTCATTTCGATGTTACACTTATCAAGAGCTTTCATTTGAGTACCCACATCAATTTTTCATATATTTTATATATTTATATATATGTATATATGAAAAATATATCAAAAATGCATGTGGGTACTCAAATGAAAGGTCTCTATGAGTATAACATTGGGATGAGCTTATCTTAATAAATGTCAATAATTAAAAAATGACCTTGTATCTTATAAACAATTGACATTTTTAAAGATATAAACTCACCCTGACATTACACTTACCGAGACCTTTCATTTGAGTACCCACATCAATTTTTCATATATTTTATATATTTGGTATTTGTGAAATATATAAAATATATGAAAAATTGATGTAGGTACTCAAATGAAAGGTCTTGATGAGTGTAACATTGGGATGAGCTTATATCTTTAAAAAGGTCAATAATTTACAAGATACAAGGTAATTTCTTAATTATTGACATTTTTTTAAATATAAACTCATTTTGATGTCGTACTCATTAAGAGCTTTAATTTAAGTACCCACATGGTATTTTTTATATATTTTTGATATATACATATATATAATATATATAAAATATATGAAAAATTGATGTAGGTACTCAAATGAAAGGTCTCGATGATTGTAACATCGGGATGAGCTTATATCTTTAAAAATGTCAATTATTCACAAGATACAGAGTAATTTCTTATTAATATAGATTTCAAGCGCCTTTTTTTATCATGCAAAAAAATTTATAAATTTTTTAACTGAATTTTATAAGAATAAAATTTAATTTTACAAATTTCTTAATTTTATTCGTATTATATAATTAAAAAAAAGAAATTTCTAAAATTATCCGAAAAAAAAAATATAAATTCATCTAAACAAAACAAAATATAAATAGAAATATATTAAAATAGACCAGAGTAACCTGATTACCAAAATAACAATATTCTTGAATCTTAACTTGCTACTTGAAAACAGGACTATTTAAATTCATCACTCACATACAGAGGGTTCAACTCCAAACTCGATACCAATTCATGTACTAAATAAAAAGATGTTATTTTAAATAATTACATTCTTAGATAATTAAAAAAATCGACCAAACACATTGCAACTAAACTACATACTAGCAAGCCGCGCTATTTACAAAGCGTGTTAAAATATTTCTGTTTAAAAAAATGAAATAAAATAATCAGCATACATAAATAAATAAATAATTATCTATAAGAGCTATTGGCTATCAAAATGCATTTTTACAAGCTAGTAATTACTTACCCGCCATCGTGAGATCGACGACAGCTTTGTCTTTCTCGATAAAGAGCGCAGTAAGTAGGAAGAAGAAACCTCCTATGACTTCGAGGAAGATTGTTACGAACAATGAATACTGAAGGCAGCGGAACTCCGTCAATACGGCGAAGTCATCAAAAGGCCCTAGTGGTGTTAGTGCTGGTTTTAATCCTTCCGACATCTATTAAAATTTTATTATTTTAATTTAATTTAATTTATTAATTTTAAATCAATTATTTTTATAAATAATTGATAAAAGATATTTATTTACCAATCCGATGATGTAAGGACTACCGGCATCACCAAGCGCATGAGCGACAAGAATTTGAAACGCTTCGGCTGTTGATCTTCTTGTTGGTATTACTACATACTAAAATATTAATTTTATTATTAAAAATTTTTTAAAAATAATTTTGGCCAGAATTTTTTCCTTAATTTTAAAATAACAATTAATTATTTATAATTTTTGATTTTAACAAGAAAATATTGATTTATAAAAATATTTTTTTAATATTTAAATTTAATTAATTAAAGTGATTTATTATTAATTTAATTAATTCTGATTTATATAGAGTTGAATAATTAGGAAAAAATTTTGTAGTTGGGTTAAAAATAAATAAATATAATAATTTACCAATAAAATATCAGCAACAATAGACCAAGTAAGGTTAAGAGCTAATTGCCCGAAGAAGATAAGAATATAGCATAAAGTAGCATTGGTATTTGCTGTTATTACTGCGAAGAATATTAATGGAACACTTATAAGCAATCCAACCGCGCAGATAAGAGGATCTGCTTGGTGATACCGCACTCTGAGTTTCTGAGCCAATACTGAACCTAATGGGACTCCCAGAAGACCTGCTAACATTGCTATCACTCCGAAGATAAATGATACACTGTAAAAAAATATTTTGAATTTAATAATTGGAAAATTAGAAATTAATTAGAAAATTTTTTAAAACTTACTCATCAGTAGCCAGATCAGTTTCTGATTTTTGTAACTTAATTCCTAATTGTAAAAATTTAGGCGCCCATAAAGCCAACGCACCGGTTACGAATGCCACGCAAGTGAATCCTCCCGTTGATAACATGAAACTTGGACTGAAAATAGTTTATGTTTAATATTTAATAATTAATTACTAGCAACCTTGCAGTCACTGTACTTTTTGGACTATTGACGTTTTTTAAGATATAAGCTCATCTTGATGTTACATTCGTCGAGACTTTTCATTTGAGTACCCACATCAATTTTTCATATATTTCATATATTTATATATTCCACAAATATCATATATATATAAAATATATAGAAAATACCATGTGGGTACTCAAATGAAAGGTCTCGATGAGTATAATGTCAGGGTGAGCTTATATCTTTAAAAATGTCAATAGTTCACAAGATACAAGGTCATTTCTTAATTATTGACATTTTTTAAGATATAAACTCATCCCGATGTTACACTCATCGAGACCTTTCATTTGAGTACCCACATCAATTTTTCATATATTTTATATATATATATATGATATTTGTGAAATATATAAATATATGGAATATATGAAAAATTTTTGTTAAATTGCACTGTACTTTCTTAATTATTGACATTTTTTAAGATATAAACTCATCCTGATGTTACACTCATCGAGACCTTTCATTTGAGTACCCACATCAATTTTTCATATATTTTATATATATATATATGATATTTGTGAAATATATAAATATATGGAATATATGAAAAATTGATGTTGGTACTCAAATGAAAGGTCTCGACGAATGTAACATCAAGATGAGCTTATGTCTTTAAAAATGTCAATAATTAAGAAATTATATTGTATTTTGTCAACTTACGATATTTTTAAAGATATAAGCTCATCCCGATGTTACACTCATCAAGAGCTTTCATTTGAGTACCCACATGCATTTTTGATATATTTTTCATATATACATGTATATAATATATATAAATATATAAAATATATGAAAAATTGGTGTGGGTACTCAAGTGAAAGGTCTTAATGAGTGTAACATTAAAATGTGATTATATTTTTAAAAATGTCAATAGTTCACGAGATATAAGGTCATTTCTTAATTATGTATCTAGAAATTTTTTATCCAAAAAAAACAATAACTTACTTTTTCAACAACTCTTTGATATCAACTGACCACGAAGTGCTTGAAATATGAGAACCACCTTCTTTTTCTCCCCTGGCAGGGTCTCTAACGAACAGCAAAATTAAAAGGATCGCTAGAATTCCTAGCCCAGGAGTTATCCTTAATCCCCAGTACCATTTGCCAGTCGCTTGGGCTATTTTACCGCTGGTAATATACCCCAACCCGCTTCCTACAGGAATAGCGAAGTAAAACAACGCTAACATTTTAGATCTAGTGTCTTTTACAAATAAGTCACTTATTATCGTAGGTGCTATTGTTGAATAACTAGCTTCGCCAATTCCGACACACATTCTGAAGAGAATGAATGTTTCAAAAGTCTGAAAATAAATAATTATAATTTATTAATTATAAAATTGAAATTTTTTTCAATTCTAATATTAAAAAATTAATTTATTAAAAATAAATTTATCAATTTATTAATTTATTAACAATAAAAATTCTAGACTTTAAATATGATAATTATTTAATTTTATTAAAAAGGGTCAATTAATAGGTCACGAGATTAAATGCGTTCTTTATTTTGTCGCCATAAATTTAAATTAAAAAAACAATAAAAGATATTTATGATAAATTAATTAAAATTATCAATTTATTTATCGGCAATTAAAAAAGATTTCATTCATAAAATAAAAAATGATAATTAATAAAATTAAATTTAAAATACTGGTACAATTAAAATAAATTCTTATCTGGCATTGCTGAGGGGCCAGAAACTATTTACCTAGCATATCTTAAATATAAAAGTCAATAATGTGAATTCCGATAAACGAGACAAAACAAAAATTGATAGACCATTTGAGTTATTTAAACTTTTAAATTACCTTCATGTAAGACCCGAGGAGTGTTGTTAGGCACCAAATAAATACTCCAATACTCATTATTATTTTTCTGTTATACCTGTCACCAAGATAACCGAATAATGGAGCAAATATCATGTAGCTGACAATAAATGCTGTTTGTAATAATCCAGATGAGCCATTTTTTATTTTAAATTGTTCTTGTATCTCTGGTAGTACACCTAAAAAATTAATTGTTTTAATTAATACCTTGAAATATATAGATAAGAATATTATGATAAAAAAAATACATATAATTAATTTATTACTTAAAAAAATATATAAAAAATTTTTTTTTTAATTTTTATTATTAAATTTTTACTTTTTAAAAATTTTTATCAATTTTTACTTTTCAATTTTATTAAATTTTTACTTTTTAAAAATTTTTATCAATTTTTACTTAACAAAAACTAAAAAAAAAAAAATTTTTTCTTCAATTTCATTGAATTTTTACTTTTTAAAAATTTTTATCAATTTTAACTTATAGAAATTTTTACTTTTAGTAATTTTAAAAATTGATAAAAAATTTCTTTGATAAAAATAATTAAAACTGAAAATAGCAGACGTTTGATAATTGTTCAATTAATTTTTCTCTCAATCACCAATTATTATTAAATAAAGAAATAAAAAGATTTATAAATAAAAAATAATCACTTAACCTTTAAATTATTTAACCTTGAAACTAAATAAAAATCATAATAAATCTACTTTCACTATCACAAAAATTGACCTTAAATTTATTTATGTCAAATAAAATAAAAATAAACAAAAAAAAATATCGTTGATTATTTTATCAATCAAAACCAATAAATTAAATTAAAAAAAAATGACATCTAATTTTTTTTCAATTATCACACATTACTTTGTTTAATAATAAAATTACCTGCAATAGTAGTTCTGTCCATATAATTAATAAGATTAACAAAACATAAAATCCAAACAGTAACCCATTCAGACATACTAACAGATTTATTTTCTTGTTTATCAGTCTGACTTTTTTTAGCAACACTATTACTAGATCCACTATTTTCTTCATTGACAACTAAATATTGCCTGGATACATGTGGTGGTGTTGTTTCTTCCATTTTTAATTAATAAATTAATAAAGAAAAAAAATTAATTCCTTAAAAAAAAATCCGAGTTTTTTAACGCAAAATAAAAAACTAAAAATAATAAAACTTTCACTATCTAATCATTTCATAATGAGCGGGTTCGTCCCATATGTTTAACTCGAAAAAGTATATTGATTTTGTAACAAAAAAAGTGTGTGGTGACTACATAGCGGTTTTCTTCAGTCAGGCCACCTTTTCTCGACGAACCAGCGCTCGAGTTTACGAGGATAAGGTTCTCGTGATATTTTTAGTAATCACTTATACAATTATCAACCTTACAACGTGTATTGCCTGGTAAACTCCTATGGCAATGATGTACAGTGTGTTGAATACCCATTAAACTTACACATATATAATATATTACACAAACACAAGTACACTTTATGTCTGTACTTGGACAAACATTGTGTACAATACAGTCGGACTTTGTTATAAGACTATTTGTTTCCTTTTTTGACTACCGGGCACTGCGACAATATGAGAGATACACTAATAGTCTTGTAACAAACTCCAACAACAAATAATCATACTGAAGTTAGCTGACAGCTGTCATTTTTATGAAAATAAAGTTAGCCGACATTTAAAAATTTTTTTACTGAAAAAATGATTACAAAAAAAATAAAAAAAAAATTTTCACTTGTAAAAAACTTTAAAAACTGTAAGTGCAATTTTTTAAAAATAGTTTTTTGTTCTAATTTGAAATCTGAGTATTAAAAAAAAATTAAAACATTAAAAATGTCGGCTAACTTCAGTTTCCATGTCACTTTTTTTTTTTTTTTTTTAATAACAAATTAATAATTAATAATTATTTGCTATTAAAAAAAATACTACTAAAAATTACCACTAATTTTTTTTTAATTTTCACACGTGGAATTTTTTTATAATAATTTTAATTTTAAAATGATTATTAAAAAAATTTTATGTCAGTTAACTTCAGTGGCTTGAATTAAAATAAATTTATTTTTGCGCGCATGCGCAAAATAGAAATAAGCGCGCTCTAGTGTTTAATTAGTGAAGTAAAATTATTCGAACTGACAATTTTTCTGACTTGTGTCAATTAAATTATTTAGAAATAACTTCTATTTAAAAATTCCAGATGTAGGAATAAAAAAATTTTAAGCTGATAATGATACTTCACTTATATACAAAGACATGATCAATTTTGTTTACAAACAAACTTATAATTGTATAGTGCGCTTAAATATTTTAGTAATTATTGTCACTTATTAATTTAAAAACATTAATAAGATTAGGTTGCATAAATATATTTCCAGATATTTTATTTTAAAATTGATTAATTTTAATTGTTTTATTTCATTCCAAAATATGAAAGACAGAAAAATAAAATATCTGAAAATAAATTTACCAATAATTCATTAATTTACAATTCAAACTGGATTTATCAATAAGAAATTAAATAAGCTGTGTAAAAAATTAGTAAAAATCTTCTTCATTCAACGTCGAAGCTGAATGTTGATTAACTATTTGCTCTTGGCTTTTGTACATATCAGCGACCTGCTGAGCTGATGTTGCGTCCTCTGATTTTTTGTCATCGCGTACACGGATAAATCTTGGGAATCTTAGAGATATTCCTTTGACAGAATCCACCTGAAGATTAATTAAAAAATACGATTAATATTTATAATACACTAAAAAAAAAAATTCTTAACTGGAGTATAAATTTTCTTGGCTCAAGAAATTTGTTTTTTGTGTGTACTGAAGTTAGCCGATGTTTTTTAATTTTTTTTAATAGTTAAATTAGAACAAAAAAATATTTTTTTTTTTCTGTAATTAATTCGTTAATAATTTCATTATAAAAAAATATAAATACGTCAAAAGAAATCTTACAATTCCAGCAGCAGCACGATGAACAGGTGACAATGATAAGTCAGCGCATTTTATTTCCCAAACTTGGGTTGGTTCAAACCAATGATCTGGCTCGTGGGATGAATCGTATCGATAATAAGACTTTGGCGAGGGTATCAAATGCTCTTTTAACAATGCTGTGTGTTTAGCAAGGTCTTCTTCACTGAATCCTGTTCCAATCTAAGAAATAAAATTTTACAAATTAATAATTACTAATTAAAAATTATTACCTATTGACATTTAAAGACTTACTCTTTACATTTAAAGATTTACTTATTGACATTTTTAAAGATATAAGCTCATCCCGATGTTACCCTTATCAAGAGCTTTCATTTGAGTACCCACATGCATTTTGATATATTTTTCATATATACATATATATAATATATATAAATATATGAAAAATTGATGTGGGTACTCAAATGAAAGCTCTTGATGAGTGTAACATCAAGATGAGCTTATATCTTAAAAAATGTCAATTGTTTACAAGATACCAGGTAATTTCTTAATTATTGACATTTTTTAAGATATAAGCTCATCCTGATATTTCACTCATCAAGAGCTTTCATTTGAGTACCCACATGCATTTTCATATATTTTT